GTGAAGCGTTAAGAATAGATGTGAATGTGTCTTAAAGTCTACTTGAGATCGTTTTTCCAAAATTTCTACATGTATGCCTCTAAGTCATAAAAAAAGTTATGGTAAAAAATTAGAAGAAATACTAATTGTCGAATCTAAATTTGAATTCCCACGTCTTAAAATGATGTAAAGTTAGTTCGTTTTTGAGATAATGAGTATTAATAGTTCTTAACCTAACCACTGTTAAGTGTATGTCTATACCTAGATAGTATGCATATGCTGTTATTTTATTATTATTCAATGGTTAAAATAATAAATGTTTACATTTATTTGTATAAGTATAATATAGTACAACACAATGAATGTACGTCAAATATTTATATGAATATACTCGAATTTCGCATATTTTTTTAGATAATAAATATTTTTTTCATGTCTTATAAATCGACGATGACTGGGATTTATGGTAAGGTGGTTGATGTATAAAACGATGTGGGGCATGGAGGAGATCCAATTATAAAGTCTTTGTATTGCGCGGTCAGATCCACAGGAAATATGTATAAAGAGGGTCTGCCTGTATTGATGATAAGCGTTCATAGAATTTATTTGATTCTCAATTTCAACAGAAACCTATTACACTTTGGCAAATGGATTTTTTCTCTAGACGTATCGCCTTACGAATTTTGTCTACTCTTTTCCTTATAGATACCTACTACATATATATATATATATATATATTGCATTTTGTGATCACTCCAAAATGAATGAAATGAAAATGTATTTTTCAACAACAGGTAGGTATCATGTCGCAACTATATTTATAAACTCAACTATAGAGTATTGTATTTTCGTACAGTTATACATAATAACAGTATTTTCTTATTTTTATATTTTTAAACATAAAATTATTTTTAAATCAAATTGAAGCAGTTATTAAGTATTAACGCCTGTGAACGAAAAAATCATGGGAAGTCAAGAAGCTATTTAAATTTTTGATTTGAAAACTTTGTATGCAATTAAAATTATTTGTGGAGTCACTTATTTTAATTATTAAACTGGTAGTGCAATTTTACATCAGTTAAATACAACTACATAACATTTGTATTCTCAAGTAGTGAAAATTAAAAACCAATGTCATAATTAACATAAAAAGTTTCAGTAACGTTATAATTGATTTTATCATTTTTACTACTTAAGTTTCAAAGCTTTTAAATTCTAGCACACCTATATATATAATTTCAAACAACTGAACATTCAGCAAGTACATTTTATTTTTGTAAGTATTTAAAATTGCGAACACGACAAACACTTTAGTGGTGTGAAGTAGAGCGAATTCCACTCAGAATGTATTGTTGTTCAAACACTGTAATATTTTATTTAACTGCTTTTATGTTCAAAATTATTATAAAATATTATTTTGCGTTGAGGCATGTGTAGAAAAACAAGATCTTAACATGCTGTATGTCTGTTGAGTATTACCTGTACCGTCGATATGTCACTACACTTGTAGGACTGTATCGTGTACGCTACAGTGGCATATTAGTTTATATCTATTTTTTAAGTTGCGCACGGGATAGCCTGCAAGTCAAGTATATCTAATTATATTATCTGAGTTTTAATTTTCGTGCACGTTAACTTGCTTCGCTTTGTGTGACTGCCCCGGTAGGGATATTTGAACAGTACCAAGGCAAGCGTATGCCTATTGCAGTAGTTCAATTTCTTGTCGATGGTTGTTTATTACTCGTTAGTTGATATCCATTGTAGAGTGCGTTGCTTTGGGATATCGCTATGACTGCGGCCGTGGGATCTTATGTGTGGATTCCTTGAGAATGAGTTTTTATGAAACATCGTGAACCCTTGGTTGGCAATTGTTTCTTGAATTGTTTTGAGACCGGCGGACCTGCCGGAAAATATCATTTCTAACGAACAAGGGATTACCGGTAATGGTGCGGAGGCCAATCGTTTGGACTGCCTCAATTATTTTCCATTGAGACTTGTATACTTGTGGTGCCGAAACTGGTTCAGCGTAAGTTAGTATAGGTATGACATACATTAACTTGCTTCTAATTTTTACTACATAGTGATAATAATTATACTTCTTATAATTTTAAATCAGCAAATCATCGTTTACATTACGCTAATACAGCCAATCCTTAAAAATAAGACTTTGAATTTATCTTTCGTACATTATATTATAAAAGTAGATAGTTCTACTTAATCACAAATCATTTAAGACGATCGATAAGATCACAGGCTCAGCCATCGTTCTCTTTATTATCATACGAGTATTTATTGCATTCTGATAATAGTCACATAGACAAAGGTCTATTTCTAAGCAGGCGCGGATCCGAGGGGGGGGGGGGCGAGGGTCCATGCCCCCCCCCCGTAGACTCTGGTGAATTTTATATTATATCTATTTTCGGCATCCGATAAAATGCATTGTTTTGCCGATAGCGTTACCGCCGTGTTTATTTAAGATGTCCCCCCCCCCCGTAAATACGTTCTAGATCCGCGCCTGTTTCTAAGACCATTGGAATGGAAGAAAAAACATATCCACATTTCTTTTATATCAATGTCACATTTAATCTTTAACTCTCGTCTAAATATTTTTGCATATAACCTCTTGCTTGAAAATTATCCAGATTTCACAACTCATGAGCAAAAACCTTAATATGCACTAAATGGCAAACTAAAATAAAAATACTCATACTAGGGATCCAGTTTTTTCGAAAATGTCTTACAGTCATGAGTCATGATACTCATTACACTATCATTTAATGGAAATAATAGATGCAGGTACCCACCCAGGTGCTTTAAAAAATGCTGGTGCAGTGATCTTTAAGATTAATAAAAAAATAAATGTATGTGTCATCACCCCTAGGCAAAAGTTTTGACACTAAATATTTATATATTTTTTTTGATTTTTCGACATTTCGACGGTGAATCTCTAACCAGGAATTACATTAAATCTGGAATAATATACACATTTCCATCATTATTATTAGCAATCCCATAGTAATCTGTACTAAATAGAGGACTTGCTGCCATTGCAAATGTAAAACAAAACTTTTAACAGCTTAGTCAACTTTTAATTGTTCTATAATGTATTGTAATATGGTGATATATTAATACGAGATAAACATAAAAGAATCTCATTTTGAGTAAGGTAATATAGTATTGTATGATACCATATTATTGTAATTCAAACTCAAAATTATCTTAAATTACTTGTTACTTGTTAATTTTATAATTATAATTGTTTTTAAGTTTTTATTTAGATCGTATTATTATAATATTATGTACATTAGATTCGGAGTAATGATTGAATTCATAAGGTAGATTTATTTGAACTATTTACAATATTGAAGAGATCATTGTTCAGTTATTTGGATAGATGTTTGAAAGTCGATTGACATGAAAAATCACAGTGCTGAAAATATGACGACATAAATAAGTTTATGTGGTCTTTTAAGTAATTTGTTATTGATTTTAATTGTAATATAAACACACAAACGTCATGATCGAAGGTTGGAAAGTTAATGCAATTAATTAACTCGAGTGAACACAAAATAATTATCTGTGAATTTAATAAAAGGTAACAAATAATACATTTAACTTATTATATTTAAGTTTTAAGTTAAAACCAGTGGAAAAAGTACTAACTTATCTCAGTTCAAAAAAAGTTAATTCACTTTTTTAATCAGAACGTGGATCACATGAAGAGTATTATGTGTTTACCTAGCTACCTATATAATACCTATAATATATTATTATATTAAGAAACAACAAATCATTGTATTATCACTATTATAGTATAAATGGGCTAATTTTTTATTTAAAACCATGTATATAGTAATTAATACTAAAACTTTTAAAATCCCAAAATTTCAATAACATTTTTTAATGGATTATTTTTAATCGAACTGAAAAAATCTAAGTTATTTTATTAGTTGATTAAACTAGCTAAGTTCTTAACTTCATTAGGACAGTAAGTAACTTGTTAAGTTGAAAAGTTTTAAGAACATTAACTTTTTATTAACTAGTTAATGCTCACCTTTGCATCTTCCACGGACTTTTCTCTGTGGCCCACCTTATCAGCAAATGTAATTATAACAATTATTAATTATTAGCTAAAATTATTATATGATTGTTCTGAATGAAAATATTTGGATTAAAATGTTCTACATGTGATTTCAACTCACAATGCCTACAGATTTTTTTTTGGTAACTTGGCAGTGTGACAAAAACATATTACTATCATTTGAGTTGTACATAGTGTAACTACATTTTATTATTATAAATAAATATATGCTGTAGGATTACGTTTCAATGTTTATATATTATTTGGATTTATACCTTAAGAAAACCATCTGCAGATTAAATTTCACATCAGTTTAGATTTATATATAAATTGTATTCTACGTACGGTCTGAGGTGAAATGTTTGTTGGAAATTAAGTTTTTTTGTTAGGTACATTATATCATAATACCATAATATGTGCTATAGTGGCTTTACAAATATATAATACTCATAGATAAACCTCTTATTTATCTCTCTGTGATGTGTTCGGTGTAGGTACCTAACCTTGAATTGATTATTTTAAGATTACATTAATTATGAATATAAAACGTATATAATTGCTGGCTACACTTTATGTGTAGAATACTTTTCTATTAAATAATTTTTTTGTTTGTTCAATACTCACGAGGTGGTGTCATAATTTTGCTTTATTATTTTATAGGTATTTTGTATGTACCTTAATAATGTTTTTCATTTCTTAAAGTAAAACATGGTAAAATAGTTATTTTTCTTGAATTTAAAAAAAAAAGTTATGTTATAGGTAGATATTCAAAAATGTAAGTTATGTAGTGAAAAGAAAAGATATTGTGGTGACTTCTTGTATACTTTTTTTTCTAAATCGGTGTACACCTAACCTTTGCCATAAAAAAAGTACCTACAACATTTTGATATAGATCTTTGTTCGCATAAAACCCTATAACTACATATATATTCGCACTCACCAACGTGTAAATAGCTCCGGTAATCGCCGCATGTCTTATGTTGAGACTGTAAAAACCGTTTTTACGACTGATATCATTGTATCTGTAGAGTACGGTTGTCGATTTCATCTGTTAAAAAAGAAAAAAAAGAAATACATAAACAATAAAAAGGAGTACACAATATTCTCAAATAGTTTTGATGGTACAAGGAAAACATCTCTGTGCATATTAATATTTGGATAAAAACTACTTTTAAAAAGCCAATAGCGTAGTGAAAAAAGTAATTGAATGTGCAATATGTAAGATATAGAATAGATTATTCTTCGGCATAAATTTAGTGTAAATCATAAATAATACTTACACAAATTTGAATATGTTAAAAACTACTCATTAAAATAAATTTTGATTTAGATTTATTTAAACTTAAAAAAAAAAAAATATTTGTTCGATAATATTTATACCGAAATAATAGCTATAATTTAAAAATGGAAGTTTGATTTTTCACTCCCCACGTCTAAATTGGTGTGATGAATCTAGATATTTATGTGTACTTAAAAATTCTAAAAAATCAGAATTTGAATAAATTTATTATTATGGGTTAAAAAGGGACTGAAAGTGCTTGATAAATCACCCTGTATATATTATTATGTATGTGTGTGTGTGAAGTTAACTTTTGTCGAACTTGTGGAATGAAGGATGAGTTTGCAGAGAGATAAATAATAAATGACCTGAATAATATTATTGAAAGTAATTTTATAGGTACGAGTTACGAAATTTGTATTTTGTATTTAATTTTTGTTTTGTTCAGTCGAAGTAATAGATACAGTGGACCAAAACATAAAATAACGAAAACAAGTTTAATGCTTAATGTTTTGTTACTGGAGTGAATGAGAATGAACAGACTTAAACACTAAACACCGATGAATTATAGAATTGAGAACCTAAAGTACCAAAACAATCGGGTCTCTTGACGCCACTAGAGTTATTCAATAGATAAATAATCAGTACCTACCTATTCATTTATTGATTATTTTATATTAATTTAATTTATTAATGCATACTGACGTACAATCTTATTTTCATATCTAACTTCACACTAAAATGCGTTTTACATAAATGATGATTCAGTCAGTTTCCAATTTTGTTCTTTATAGTAGTTATACATTAGTGGTTTAAGATATTTGTATAGCTAAGTATAATATATTGTATATAATATTATACAATTTAAGTGACTTAATTTAAACGAACTATTGTACTGTTCGTTTACTGCAAATATTAATTTTATATAAATAATTACAATCACAATATTATATTCATATCGTAATAATAGGGATCATGTAAAAATCATTAAATATTTTGTTTTAAATATTGCAATTTAGAAAAACTAATATTTAAATTGTTTATTTAATTAGTAGGACGTGATTGGTCGATTTTTTGATGTGGTATTCAGTGTTTAATGTTCATAATATTTTTTCAATTATTTATACATATTTATTCTTGACTTCTAATGATGAAAAATGAAAATTTTATCTCATACTCTTAACATCATTATTTGTCGTACTTACTTTTAATTTTACCCATTTATATAATTAGGAAGGTAATTTTAACTACATAAAATAATAAATATTATTAAAGTTAATTAATATATTTTATGTAATTTTGTTATTTAAAATTATTTACATATATATTATAAAATAATCTAATATCTACTGTAAATTAGCTACGGTTTATATTTCAATTATTAAAATTTAAGTAGCATATTATGCAAATTTTCTAGGATTTCTCTAAGCATTAATTTTGATTTTATGCTGTACTTTTTATTTATTCAAATATTAATTATTATACTACTAGTATAGCAATAATGTGTTGTAATTTATGTTCAACTTAAAAGGATATCTCAATCAAAGAAATACAAATGTTATAAAGACAGTATTTTATTTGAAATAAATAATTTGATGTTCTCGTTGATAATTAGTACAATGTTTGTTCAGTACTGGCACTACTGTATACATTTTTAATAATAAAAAACTTATGAGTTACAATATTTTATTTTATTTTTAAATTCTCTTACGTTATTTAATAATTATGTATGGAACTTAATCAATTGTATGAATTATAATTTTATAAAAATACAGAATAATCATTTATTATTTAAAATTACATTTTCGTAAGTAGGCTTAATTCTAAATGTTAATGAATTCAAATTAGGAGGCTTTGAACTACAACTTGATTATTTGTATGCACAATTATAACGAAAACTATAACTGATTAATATAGATAAATCAAAACAATGGAGAAAATAATAAAAAGCTTAAATTGTGTTCGATTTTATTTATGTAGCGAAAATGAGTTCAAGAATATGGCAATTAACATGTAAATCGCAAAATCTACATAATCTGATAATCTGTATGCGTCCAATGAATTCATAATATGACAAGTATATATATATTATAAAATTTCGTTTTAATTATCAATTAATTTTGTCCTTTATTCTCAACCAGTAGTAATAATAATTTATTTTGTATGCTCGCGTTACTTGAAATTTCATTATACGCAAGAATTATAAGGAGATATTATTTTCTTCACTCAATCCATGCTTTCCCGTTATTTAAGTCTATTATTTAGTCAGTATATTATAACTATAGTGACATAATAATAATGTGAAATTTTATTCCTAGTTTAATCGTTTTTGAGTTATGACAATGGTTGGAATTGGTAGATAAAGAAAATGTTAAAACGTACGGAGGGTAGTGTATTTTTGAATTATATATGTGGGATTAACAATGACTTGTACATGGTTTTTGTTCAGATAATCATTTATGAGTGTTAAAAAAGATGCTCAAAATGTTTTGAGCTGCATGCTTGTACAATATAACTAAAACAACTGATATACAGGGTGTTCCAACAAGTATGCTCACTCCCCTTTTTTCTTTAATAATGAAGTTTTTCAAAATCTGATTTTTGTAATCTTTAAATATATTCAAAGACCATATTTTCATATTATTGAGATTTTTTGTGCCACTAAAAAGTGTCCTGTGGCGATACAAACCTTTGTTTTTCAAATGAGTTCCCCACCTTTCTTCTTTGAATTATTTAGCTGATCATTTTTTTGAGAATTTTGATGTATCGAAATAAAAATTTGAACGAGTGGTTTCCTAGTTATTGGACAATTTGTACTAATTATAGTCCATTATAGGGATATGCTTATACAATTCTACACATGGAATAAGAAAAATAACTAAATAAATCAAGAAGAATCTAACCTGCTATTTACCTAAGTGTTTGACCAAATAAATATAGAATTACATTATTTTGTATGACAACGTATACTGTATAAGCATATCCTTCTTCCTTATTATAAACTATATTATCCTTAGCATAAAATGTGTATGAACTAGAAAACTACTCGTTCGAATTTTGATTTCAATATATCAAAATTTTCAAAACAATAAATTATCCGCTAAATAATTTACAGTAAAAAAGTGGGTATTTGAAAAACAAAAGTTTGTATCGCCACAGGACACTCCTTAGGTGATACAAAAACTCTCAAGAATATGAAAACATGGTCTTTGAGTATATTTGAAGCTTCCAAAAATCAGATTTTGAAAAATCATTAAAGATTCATTAAAAATCATTAAAGAAAAATGGGGGTGAGCATACTAGTTGGATCTCCCTGTAGATGATGCTAAAACTTTTGAGAATACGTTGTAAAATATCTTAATTGTTTTATGAACATTTGAAAAAATCTTAAAAAGATCAATGAATGGTTTTCCCGTTTCGCACACCCACTGTCGTGAACCATGCGTGTGTTTGAAACTTATTTAATTTAATATAAAATGTTGTGAAAATGTAAAGCCAAATTTATATATATATGTACTAGATTGAATATCAAATAATAATAATTTGTCTTGATCCCATAGTTGAGGTTTCAAGCCATGTTAAAAAGTTTATATTCGTGGTTGTTTATATAATTATATCAGAGTGATAGATACCAAGATTGATAGATGTATAGATATATAGATATATGGATACATAGATAATGGGATGGAGAGAAAAAGAGCATTTAAAATATTTCATTAAAACCCAAAAGAAGGAACTTTTCTTCCTTTAACAATTATATTACTAATTAAAATGTTTAACAGTTGCATAATCATTAGATTAGGTTATGTAAAGTAATACATATTTTTGAATAGGTCATTATTCAGAGTTATCTAAATTTCTTTTTTATTTCTGATATGGCTAGCTAATATTATATTTTCTTTAACCATTTAAATGTTCATCCACCCAATGCTTTTAAGTTATTGCAATTGGAAAAAAATAGAGTCTATTAGCATCTGCTCAGTATTCTAACAGAATAGTATGTGATCAAGATTTTATACAAAAAGGTCGTTTGCTTGAATGTCTTCATACATAGTTTGCCGTTTTGGAAAAACCACACACCATTGTAAGACAAGAACAATACCAGTTATGACGTTATATATTTTAACTAGTTTTAACATTTAACTTCGTTTTTTTAAAACTGTAATTATGGATGATTTATTTTTAGAACATGTTATGTATTTTAGTGCATATGTTCTGTCTAAAATTAAACAATGCTTTTTTTTACTGGAACTAAAAAAATTAAATTTGCATATATGTGTTTTGTTATCATACTCGAAGCATTTGTAAATGTAACAATATAAATTAAGTATGGCGTGTGCAATTGTTGATTTTAAATTTTCATGAATTTGAAGTTTAATTATATGCAAAGGAGATAGAAGCTGATAATTGAAGTAACTTTAATTCAACTGTATTTATGTAAGAACATGTTTACTCGTACATAGCATTAAATATTAAGGACTCGAGTATTCAATAACTTACCCAATTTTTGAAATACTAATAGTTTATTAATACGTGTTAATGTATCAAATAAAATGTGTATTATATATATCGTGATTGAGACTTACATCATAAAAATATCTAATGTACATTAACTCTTTAATTATTTATGTTCATCTGAGTGTTTATTGTAATTTGTTTACTTTTTATTAGCATTATAAGGAATAATTTTTGAATATTATGTGATTTCTATAAGTTTTTTTAAAAATATTAACCTTTTGTGTAAGATGCAATACATATTTTATAGAAAT